TATCAGGCCACAATATTATTTAATTTTTTTACTTTACCAGAAAAAAATACTCTTAAACCTTCATCAAATTAATTTGTGAAGAATTTTTTTTTAATTTTTACATTGCGTTTGAATAATGTTTTAATAATATTGGTTTTGTTTATTTTCCTTCCAACCAAAACTAATTTGTAACGAATGGTGCGTTGAAAAGTGGCTCACCTATTTTTTGGTACGAGACTAACAAAATAAAATGTGCTGAGTCATAACTAGACGCACCAACCTTGATTTTCCTATGGTGCACCGAAAATTGACTCACTTTCTTTTATTAACGTATTAATCAAAGGTAATAAGCCTCGAGTCAGATTTAAACGCACCCGCGTTGATTTTCCAATGGTGCACCAAAAATTGACTCACTTCCTTTTTTTAATGTTAAAATCAAAAGAAATAGGCATCGAATCAGATTTAAACGCACCCACGTTGATTTTCTAATGGTGCATCAAAAAATGACTCACCCTGTATATATGAAGTTTACAATTTGGCAATATATCTTACAAAACAAGAAAGACGTTCCTCATGGTTTAAAACTGTCTGAGGGAAAGATTTGATTTATTTTGAAAATTCCAGTTTGGGTTCAGAAAATTGCTGTCCACTGAAGATGCCCTTTATCACATACATATTTGAGAAAATAATAGGTTCAAAAATGAAAAATCTTTAAGTGGTAGATACCTTCGTCGATCTAAGACCTTTGATCGTGTCAACCATGACTTATTAATTAAGAAACTTGAATCTTTTGATGTACGTGGTGTTCGCCTGGATTGGTTTAGGTTATACCTTTCTGGATGCTATCAAAAAGTATTTATAAATGGCATTCTTCGTCCACAATTTCTTTTACTACAGGGATCCAACAGAGCTCAATTCTGGGGCCACTCTTATTTAACCCTATCTCTAAATATTAGGAGTATGGAATTCTGTTGGGCCGGCTCAGAAAGAATTTTGGGGTTGAATATTGATTCCTCCTTGACATGGGAAGCTCATATAAATAGCTATAAAATTAAACAGGGTTAGTTTTTTAATGTGGATGATTTCTACAAGCCGACACTTCATAAAGCTGTGTACACAAGAAATTTTAAATCACTGCTCTCCTATAGTCGTTTTTTTTTGGGGGGGGGGAATGGTATTGGTGCTATTAAGGTCTTTATAATAAAAAAAAATCACATGGGTGGTGTAGGAATAAGGCACTCTTGCCATCAGCTTGTTGTAAATAAAATAATAACACTAACCTGTCTACACATTTGTAGAATTACCATTTTTATTAATTAAAAAAAAAATCAAACTCTTTTCCCTACTAATTTGAAAATTCATTCCTATAATGCTTGCTGCAAGATCAGGTCATAATAATAGCAGAAGGTCTAATAAACGTGTTTCCCACATGGACTTACATTTTCAATGCTCTCCTTGCTAGTATCAAAATGATTAATGGTTTGTCCAGTTTTGAAAGGGCTTTGAAGATACATTTACAGGGAAAATCGTATTATGATGTAAATTAATTTTTCAGTTCTTCAAGACCATAATACCTTATTGTGATAATTTTGTTATTATTTTTGAAGTCTAATTGTATTAATTTATTTGTAACTCGACATGTCTACATACAATGTATAATACAACAATAAATGATTGTATTCTATTCTGAACACAAATGAATGTGACAAGGAAATAACTTCAATTTTCACACTCGCACTGCCATTGTGGGGTTTCAGACCCAGAAAATGATTTTATTGCTTGCGCTTTTTTTAATCTACTCTCCAATGTATCTTTATTAGGTCTATTTGTGAAAATTTTGAACAAAAATGTAATTATTATATTACAATTAATTAAGGATTTTAGTTGAGATAAAAAAGTCTCGATTCGGCTAGATACGCCGCTGCTCTACCACTTGAGCTATCGTGACCTCGATCCACCCGGACACCAACTTCCTATCTCAACCCCAACTTTTGAATTTTCCCTCCTTTTTGCCATTTTTCAAATGTCGTGTAATCGGATTGGATTCTCGGCGACAATGAAATGGCCACGGAGAGCTTTAGTGAAGTATACTTCATTTTAAATCATTAAATTCACTAATTTCGTGGTCCGCTTGACCAATTAATATATTACAATTAATTAAGGTTTTTAGTTGAGATAAAAAGTCATTGTCACGAGCGGGATTCGAACCCACGATCTTCGGCTAGATACGCCGCTGCTCTACCACTTGAGCTATCGTGACCTCGATCCACCCGGACACCAACTTCCTATCTCAACCCCAACTTTTGAATTTTCCCTCCTTTTTGCTTTTTATCTCAACTAAAAACCTTAATTAATTGTAATATATTAATTAGTCAAGCGGACCACGAAATTAGTGAATGTAATTATTATAGCTCTTTTATAGATTTAAAAAACCCTACCAAAAAAACATTGGTGTCTAAAAAGACCCACCTTTGTTTTTTATTATTCCTTTTTTTACCGATGGTGGTGCAAGTGTTAAAATATACTGTTAAAAATTAAGTTTTCAACCAGCTTCCTATTTTTAATACATCAAACATGTTTGTTTATTTTAGTTCCATCACAGAGATCCTGGTATTGTTGGTCTTCTAGGAATGGATTCTAAAAGCACAGTATATTATGGCGTCATTGCAGATGGCATTCATACACATCACTCAACACTAAGAATTGCATATAAATCACACCCTGAAGGTAGTTTAAAGTTAATTAAAGTTAAGTTCATAATTTGCATTCATTTCAAGAGATTATTATTTATTTTGAATCATCATCCATATATTACTCTTATTTTTATTTGGGATATAATGTCAGTTGAAAAAACGTCAGGATTTGAAATTACGCAACTGTTCAACTAACTTATAACAATGAATGGCCCCTTAATTTGATTATAGCTTTTAATAGTAATAGGCCTAATTCAAACAGTATCATTGCATAAAATCTTAAGAACTTAATTTTCAGGTGTCGTGCTCGTCACTGATGCCATTTCAGCAATGGGCCTCGGAGATGGAAATCATTATTTAGGGGAAAAAGTCATACAAATAAAAAACGGAAGGGCCTGCATAGCAGGGACCAGCACACTTTGTGGGAGTGTTGCGACAATGATCGACTGTATTTCTCATTTCATAAGAGCCATAAGTAAGTATAAGATGTAAATTGTAATTTTTTTTGCATAATTTTTTTCTTGTATTATCTTTTATTTCAACACAGAGAAAAAGGTTTAGGAGAAGTTCAGCAGTTGATAGATGGTTAGGGATAGTTTAAAATAAAAATAGATACCGTACCTTCATCGATATGATTCCAATACCAAAATAACCCACACATCATCTAATGCTCTCACTTACCAGTTACAAATGCTTTTCAATACCATAGTGAAGCCGATTTGGATTTACGGACTGGAAGTATGGGGTTCAGCCAAATACTCCAATATCCGTGACACCCAAACTGCCCAATCTATAATTCTCAGAAAAATCCTCGATGCTCCATTTTATGTGTCCAACGATACAACCCACATGATCTACTAAATATTCCTTTTTGCTCAAGATAATCCAACTCCTGTTACTGCACAATTCCCTCAAACCACCCTTGCTGACTGAAGACATGATGGCTGTGAGATCTCCTATCCTATTTACATATGGATTCCTTGTACAAAATATATAAATGTATTACAAGAAGTTACACATAAAAAGAGCTTTTTCTAACAATGTTCATATTTCACTATTAAATCATTACAATGCTTGTGCTATTTCCAATAATTTTCATATGGATAGAACATAAAGANACTTTTCAAGAGAAGCAGCGATTTTCTGATCGAAATGTAATTTTTTAGCTTTTTTAAATCTTTTAATTTTCTAGGCTTTTAAAAATCACCCAGAAACTATGAAATTTGAGCTAGATCAGAAAATTGCTACTTCTCTTGAAAAGTGGTATTTTTTCACATTTTGGTACAATTTTTTTAAAACCCCTATCATTGGAAAAGATTTATTTTTTCTTTTGTAGAGAAATAATAGACAGTTAACTAAAAGATTAAGAAATACTGTTCATGATAAGCAGTGATTTTCTTCTGTAGCTTGAATTCTTTGCTTTTGAGTGTTTCTAGCAAGCAATTGTCCAATACGACTGTGTAGTGTTGCTGTGTGAAAATTGCTTCTTTTGAAAAGTTGAATAGTTTTGCTTTTCACTGTATTTTTCTCCAAACCACTTCAGCATCTTGAAACAATTCTATTTTATTTTGTACTCAATTTATACCTCTGACCTAACCTAAGTAACCTAACACTATCCTCACCTTTGCCGATGATACTGTAATCCTTTTTTCTAATTGTCACAGCTTCCTGTAATCTCCAAAATAGACCAAATAAACAAACATAATATATACCCTAAACAAGAAAATGTTCCCAACAATATACCTCAACAATGTTCCCACCCCTGTTGCCAACAATGTGTGATACCTCTGACTCTACCTGGACAAATGACTGACATGGAACCCACATATACGACTATGCACACAGACTGTAGCACACAATTTTTCATTGAAAAACAACTACTTGACAGACAATCTACTCTCACTGATTTAGAAAAAAAAAATTGTTACATTGCCCTCCTGGCCCCTATTTCCAAAAGGCATTCCAACCTCAACGGAATTCAATTTCTTCAATCTAAAATCCTCAGAACAAAAGTCACTGTCCCTTTCTATTTCCAATCACACATCCATACCAACCTAAATGTTCCTCTTGTTACTCGACCAGCCCAAACCTGCTACAAAATGTTCCATTCCAAACTACCCCATCATCCGAACCCTTTCGTCAAAAATCTGTCATCCACCACATTACCTAACAGAAGACTGAAGGGTCAGCGGCCCGGCGCAACCTCACTACTTTACATCGATCTCCTAGGATGGAGTCCATCTCACGCAATGTATTGTCCATCTAACATAACAGCTACTGTCACTGGTTTGTTTTTGTTTACACTTCTATGCTACTGTTAATATTGTTTATATGTAAAAATTATATGTTTTACTTGTGTCAAAGAATGCAGTTGTAAAATAATAAAAACATTTTTATCTTGTAGTGCAATCTTTCTCTTTTGCTTGCTAGAAACACACAAAAGTTAAGAATTCGCGCTACACCAGAAAATCGCTGCTTCTCTAGAAAAATTAAATTGTTTAACTTTTTAGTACATTTTTTTCCAAACCACTTCATCTTGAAACAATTCTGTTTTATCTTGTAGAACAATAATAGACAAACATTCATAGAGAGAACAGCAAGGACCTAAAAAAAATCTCGATTTAAATCAGCTTCTCTTGAAAAGTTGCATTTTTTCACCTTTCAGTACAATTTTCTGCAAGCCATTTTATCATATTGAAACAATTCCTTTTTTAGAGCAATAATAGACAAACAATTGTAGCATGAATCTTTTTCAAAAACACCCCGAGCTGAGCAATATTTTTTATTTATTTAATCCATCTACATGACCTTTACTATCCAAAAATCCACTCGTCTTACAGTCTGTTTCAACAGAACACTAATTTTTGATATTGTGGGCAACCTGAGACTATAAATTGACATGAGACTAACATGAAATCCTCATACACTTCTGAAAAAATAGTGGAAACTAAATGTGACTACAAATTACCCTTAGATAATTTTTTTACTTATTTAACTTACACCGTTACTTATACTGTATGAGACCCTCTGGAAGTTTGGGGCTCAACAAAAAATCTAATTCCTGTAAAATCCAGTCCATTCAAACAAAAATGGTATGAAAAATATTAAACTCCTTTCTTTGTTTCAAACCCTGCTCTCCATTAAGACCTTAATATTCCATTTGCAATTGACATTACTAAATCCCGAAAACAAAAAATTCCATAAATATTTAAACCTTCATCCGAATCCTCTTGTCTAACAGATTTCTTGTCACAACATTTTAGGGCTGAGGTCAAGAGAACTTGAATCAATGTGAGGGAGTGTCACTGCTGGGTAACTTCTTATTTCACATTTTCATTGTGTCATGTTTTCAATTGCAAATTAAAATTGCAATTGTAAAAAATATAACAAATACAACTAAAAAGTATATTAACAATATACATCTTATTATAACTAATCTTGAATATATCTACTGCCAGGATGTCCACTTGTTGAAGCTTTGGAAGCCGCTTCTATGCATCCAGCTGCTGTCTTGGGATTAGAGACGAAAAAAGGGACTTTAAATTACGGAAGCGATGCAGACTTTGTGGTACTCGATGATTCCCTTTCCATCTTATCAACCTGGATCCGAGGCGAGTGCGTGTATTCTAAAAAAACTGAAAAATGATATAAATATACATTTTTGATATTTTTGTACTACTCATTTCAATCATAAAAAAATAGTCTGTTTAATTGTACTATTTGATTACCTTTCAGACCTATTTATTTAAGTAACAAAAAACGTTATTTAAAGTTAAAAAAACAAAACAATTATAAATTTAACAGTATGTATTTACTATGTTGACAAGGAAAACAAAAGAAATACAAGTGGAGAACAAACCTGAATTAAGGGAAGAATGAACACTTAAATCATATAAGCTGAGAAAAAATAGAATAGAATAGAAATTTCTTTATTATTTACAAAAATTTAGTATACACCAGTGAATCTTATTTACATCTAAAGAATATATGACATGATTTACAACCGTGTGTTGGAGCTCATTACAATATGTCATCAAACAACAATTTCCTATATATTTATGATTTCCTACACATAAGAGACTCAAAAGAAAAAATAACATTGAAAAATACTAATATGAATTATGAATAAAAAGATAAATAAAGCCAAACCTCCTGGAGAATATTATTAAATGGAAGCAGTACAATACAAATTAATTTATTTGTTGTGGCTTAATCTGACTTCCCATAAACAGTCTTACCTGTAGGTCAATGCTTGGCGGGTATATTGTATGAGAGGTCTGGTTTCTGTATCGTCCAATAATTTAATTAGGTTTTAGTTCGACTCTCTTGCCTAAAACTCCCTAGTTTATGAATCTCCCTCAAGATAGTGAATTCAACAATAAAATACATAATATTTCCACAGCATGTGAGTTGCAGAGTATAAACATCATGCTACCGCTCCGGAAGTGGTTCAGAGAGTTAAGTACAAGGCTTTGCATTTAATCAGCCAGCTAAGGTCCTTCGACGACAATTCCTCAAAATTACCTTTACCTAAATTAAACATATCTGTATTTAGGGAGAGCTGACCATAAATCAACTGACTAGATTTGGTCAATTCTAGACATCCACAACGGTGTTGGCTAGAGATCCTCAACAAGAGATTTGAGAAAAAACTAGGCCAACAGCCAATGTTTTCCCTAGGTGGAAGGTCTTTTTATTTATTTATTTATTTTTTTAAAATTCACTAGCCCAACTACAACATAGTTTTACATCAGTACATTTCGTACAAGCACATTTCACATTTTTAACTGGCTCAAATAACTGATTTCTGAAAGATTAAAAGACCACATTTTTCGCTTAGGAACACCACTGTAAGAACCAGGAAATGTTGGAGTTGATAGTCTCAGTGGCTGTGATATTGGTTAATCTTGATTCAGGCAGCAAGCAGATTTTTTGGATGTACTCAAAATGAAGTTGTAGAGTAAAAATAAAAACCACGCTGCGGAGGTTTCAAGATATAAAATATAATTTGGCAGTGAATTTTTCTATAATGCCATACTATTGAAACCGCCATACTTGTCACCCATAGTAAATGATGGAACGGCACACAGTGTTAAAGACTGCAAATTTTGGTTTGACTGGGATGACATACTGGTTGGCGCCAGGTCCTATTAAGGTCTAAGGAAGAGAAAAGGATCGCAAGTCGGGGAGAGAGTATAACACCTAAATATTTATATTTGTTGTCTACTTCAATCCGTTCCCCTTGTTAGAATTATTTAATCTGCCACTCATCCTGAATACTAATATTTTTGACTTTTTAAGGTTTACAGTCAGGTTCCATTGTTGACAGTAAGTTTCCAGTAATTGAATATTTCTTTTCAGGGTATACGTGCTCTCTGTAAGGTTTACAATATCATCTGCGTATAGTAAAATTTTTTTGGTGGTGCTTTGAATTTTTATAGCACGTTCCAAAACCTGGGGAAGGTCGTCTAAGAATAAATCAAACAATAAAGGACTTAGGGGGCAGCCCTGTCTGACACCTCATTCCACTTTAAAAACTTGAGACCGTCTAGTCTGACCTTTGACTCTTGATCCCGTGATTTAAAAAATTGATTTTTTCACTGGGGTTATTCAAGACACAGAAAAGGCCTTTGAAAAGGTATGGCACGATGATCTTAAGTACAAAATAAAGCCATTGCTCGCGGACACATACTTCAGGGTTGTAGCATGTTATGTAGAAGAACATTCAATGTGAAAAGTAGTACTGCATACTCTAAAAACCAGGATATAAAAGAGGGAGTTTTTTCCTGGATTGCTTAATTTTAAGAGAAGACCACTCCTGTCTACACTGTCAAAAGCTGACTTGAGGTCAATGAAAAAGCTGTACAGTTTTTGATTAAGCTTTGTCCATTTCAAATTAATTAAGTTAAACAGAGTATCCATCCTTAACATAAGAAGCTATGTGATTAACCAGGAGGCTAGAAAACATTTTTGATATGGCATCTAGACATGAAATTCTTCTATAATTCTCACAACATTGATATCGTAATGTTTAAAAACAGGGAATATAATCGCTTTTACGAAAGTTGAAGGAACAGCTCCTATGTTATAAATGTAATTATAAAAAAATAGAGCAGTACGGAGACACTCTGGGGGGGGCAAACTTGTAGAAATAATTTATGATTCAATAAGGAAGAGGGTGTTTTTTCTTTCGCGTAATATAATAGCGTCATTCCTGTTCGGATTTAGAAGACTTGAACTATTTGCATAGAGGGATGCTGTTACCACAAATATAACTTTTCTTTCTAAAATTGTTAATTGTTTTACAAAACTCATGGGAATATCTATTACAAAAAGTGGTGAACAGCGTAAGAACAGCTCTTGGCTTTGCACAGAGCTTTATACGGGAATTCGCCTTTAAATAAGCTATTCTGATAAATTGCAAGTGTTTTGTGGAAAGGGTTCAGCAATGCAAAAGAACTTTGCGTAGCGCGAAAGCATTCGCCATCGAACCACTCCTGTTTCTGATTATTTTTAATCATACATAGGAGGTCCATGGTTCTTTTAAATTATTTTTAAAGGATAAAACCATCTGGGCTATCTTGCCTTGATTCCTAATTGTAACAAATAAATTATTATTACTTAACTATAGTGGAAATAAAAGCCAAATTAATGGACCAAGACTAATTTTTGGGTTACTTTGTACCTTTTATTTGTACCTACCTTTTATACTGAGGTTGTTATTTTACTTGGCGTATCATATTCTTCGTTTCATCTGTGTTAAATTTTCGGGTATAGATGAAGGCTTTGGGGAACTGAAACAATTCATCTGGACATCTGGATTGATCATCGAGCAGGTCCGTCGTATTATTGTCTAATTTATGCAAATCTCTGAGATGCTTGTAAATGAATGGGGCAGTCCACAGAAACGTGCCTCACTGACAGTGGCTCGTCACAGATTGCCCACACCGGTGGAGAGCTCAGTGCCATTACGTATCCGTGTGCCCTATTCTGAGTCTGGTTAAGACCACTTCCTCACCCCGGTTGTTTCTCGCGGATGAGCTCCTCGTTCGTACGGTGTGTTTTATTCTCCTCAGTTTATTGTCGTTGGTGTTTTCCCATTCGTTCTGTCATTTCATTCATATAGCACGTTTCACAACCAAGGAAAAATCATTTGGAGGAACTTCCTGATAGGGGACGCATTTGCTCGTAGCCAGTTTTGATTTGAAGTAAGTTACGGGTTGTAGACCTATGTGCACTGCATCCGAATTCTAATTTTGATCGGTTCTATAGAGGAGCATGCTTGTTCTGTCGGCACCCCAAGCCGTACAGTTAACAGTGCGACTAAGATTCAATGAAAAGTAGCAGGATTTTTTAATTTTCATTATGTGTTCCTTCCAATTATAATTTTTTTAAAATATAAAAGGAGTTGAAAAACGGGATATTTACGTTATTTAATGTTAGAGCTGGCATTATCGGATTATCGGGGGGGGGGATCTTTTGCGGAAAAGGATTGCAGCTGATTTTGAACTTTAAAACCGTTATTATGGAGCCAGACTTATTTTGTTTAAGCATTCTGAATTTGCTCTTGCGATATATTTATATTCTTTCCACGACTCATAATGACTACGCATGTAACATGGTGCGGCCTGGCAAGTCATCTAATTTGAGGATATGATTAATGGACAAGAAAAATAAAGTGGAACTTAACACACATCCTCGGGGAACACCATTATCCTGCGTGTATTCATCTGCAGTGTGTTTCCACAGCGCACTCGAAATGTACTGTTGTTCAGAAGATTCGTAACAAATTTCAAAACGAATCCATTAATTCCGAGACCGACCAATGTCTCTATGATCAAACGTTTCCAAGCTTAATCAAACGCGTTCTGAATGTCAACGAAGGCGGCTAATAAATTTTTTGTTTATTTTTGAAGGATTGTATGATAAAGGTGTTATTCTTCCCGAATCGAGTAAGTTTTGTAATTCCTGCCGTCCGCCCTTTCTCACCCATTGTAATAATTTATTATTCAATTTTGTGAGCACCCATCAGTTTAACAATTTTTTTTTATCCCAAAGTGATATTTTTTTTAAATTCCCTATTGGCGGCATAGATCAAGGCAGCACTAGATCAAACAATCGGTAGCGGACAGACTCCACGTTAGGGACTATTTTACCGTTCGGGTTACCATTTGTGTGTGTACATATTTTAAGTACGTGAAGGTGACCAGTTTCAACTTCTCAGCATTTATGATTTTATTTTCCACTGTTTACACCACTAGAAGATTATTAAGGTATGGTGAAGTTTTTCACGGGGGACAGCTGGTGAATTTCTTGGGCCAATGCGTAGGACTGCAACATCACCTGCAAGTTGGGCTATAACTAAACGATCCGATTTAGGGAAATCCGATGAGTACATAAGATACAAAAATGGGCCTAGGAATGTTTCCTTGTGGAACTCCCTCTTTTATATCCTGGTTTTTAGAGTATGCAGTACTACTTTTCACATTGAATGTTCTTCTACATAACATGCTACAAACCTGAAGTATGTGTCCGCGAGCAATGGCTTTATTTTGTACTTAAGATCATCGTGCCATACCTTTTCAAAGGCCTTTTCTGTGTCTCGAATAACCCCAGACAGATTTGTTTATTCTCAAAACCATCAAGAATATTGTCGATACTATAGTGCAATTGCTGTGGACA